ATGCAGGTACTGGGAGCCTCCTGACCCTTCTCCTAGTCCTTTGTTACTAACTGACATGTGTATGTCTGGTATTGTAGAACTTTGTGTTTCCCCTGCTTGGATTCTTTTTCCCAGAGGTGAACAGGTGTGTGCGTATGTGTGTCCCAGACCTCATTGTGTTAAAGTGGACCAGACAACATGAGGTGTGACTATAGTGTAGTGAAGAGCTATAGAGAGTGTGTAATTTGATTACATAGTCTCTCCATTTGTGTGCTGGTGCACATTGCCATACCCATATGTCTACAGGTTCTGTTTCTACCCCACCTTGTCCATCTAATATTTGGCAAGATTTTCTTCCCTGACTTTTGCTCAGGCATTATGATGTCTGTGTGCGTGTGCACATGCATATTGTGCCTTTGCTTATGCAGTTTTTGTGGGGGCGTCTCTGTTGTTTTTGAGTCATGTTGATTCTGGGCATTGAAGCAAAAGCTCTCTGCTGCCCCTCAATAGGTCAAAAACAAAGCCATGTCAAGCAAGAGAGCAGCCCCTGAGTGTTTACCATTTGTGTCTTAGCCAGTGATTGTGCAGATGGAACAAAAAGCCTTAATAGGAAAGTACTCCTGCATTACTAACAGTGTTTAGATATGTATGGTAATCCTTTATATGCCCTGCTATATGGACACTAATTTTCTTGATTTATTTCTCTCTCTGTTTCTTTCTGTGGTTTACCAGCTGTGAATCAACAAGTACACATTATGTTTTGAAACCAACATAAGCTGGTGTGGCCATTTGCTTTTACTAGTAGCACAATAAAATTTAACTGAAACCAATGAAAAAAGTAGACAGTTATTTCATTTTTATATTCATTTTAATTCAGTTCAAATATGTTATTGTTCCCAAAGGGAAATTACAATTAATTGAGTATTATTTTAATTTTCATTGCCAGGGATATTCCCACTGTTTATCTTCCTTGGGCTTTTAGTTTTCAGGTAACATTGACAAGGTCAAGTAATTGTAGGGGTCACCTCGAGTGAAGAAACAAGATTTACTGCCTCGAAGCAGGCCTCAGACAGGCCTGACGAGAGGACAGGAACTCTGTCACAAACTGAACTCTATTTAGGCCATGAAAGGTCATCCTAACCGTGGAAGAGAACCCCTCAGTTGTCTTAATCACATAATGGACAGAACAATCTCTGCTGTTCGTGATTCATTTGTTGTTTAACGAAGAATGTTTATGCATTTGTTAAATCATGATAATGAATGTCACAGGAAATGTGGAACGACTTCTTTTCTTTTATCGTGCCTTAAAGATTTATAATGGTATAAAAAAATTACAGAGAATCTGATTACCGGTACAATGTTTTCATTGTGTTTTTATGTAAATTACTGTTTTATTTTACTGTGAACACAATAATATAATTGTGGATTTTTCCTGAGAAAATCTTTCATTTATCTGGACTAACAGAAGGTTCAGAACTGATTATAAAACAGAAATGTTAATTAATCATCATGAATGTTTTGCAGTGATCAACATGATATGATAACCTCTTTTCAGCTTTCTTCTGATGGACTAAGAGAAATCACTGCAAAACATTTATGATTATTATGATCTATTTAACTTGTTTCTTATTTAAAAAAATAAAAAATAAAAAATAATTTTGCAAGAAACAAGTGTAAGAGAGAATATTAGAAAGTCTTTATTTGCAGGGAACAGTTACATTGTAGTCCCTTTGCTGCCTTACTGACGTTTGAATAAATTTAGGCCTAATAGACATGTAAATTTTTTAAGCTTGAATTGTGTTCTTCACTTGCAAGTTTTTTGTTAGTTAGTTAGTTAGTTAGTTAGTTAGTTAGTTAGTTAGTTAGTTAGTTAGTTAGTTAGTTAGTTAGTTAGTTAGTTAGTTAGTTAGTTAG